TTTTCTTTATTATCAATTCTAGGATGTCCTTAGGTACTGGGGTCAAACTGAGTGGTTTGTAGTTTCTTGAGTACTTTCACTGTCTTTATTGAGCCAAATGATACTGAAACAGTTCTCTGGGATGGTACATAAACATTCAACCAGACTATTGCCTACTCTTTTCTCAGTTTTCTCAAATGATAATCAGCTGGACTTGGGAGCTTTAAGTTCATTCAGATACAATAGGCATTCCCGGGTTTTAATCTATTAGTCTCAATCAGATTTTTTACCATTGCCTGATGGAGCATAGTTCTTTTGGTTGAAGAAGACCAAAATCCAAAAGAACTCAAGTACATCTGCAATTTCTTTGCTACCAAACAGTTCCATAAATGAATTATAAAGCAATAAAAATTATTATTTGCTATTAAACCATTATAACCCAAACTAGCTTACATGAGATGTGACATCTCATCCTGGCAGTAATATAGTCATTTTTTGAACATTTTTGAAGGAGATGCAATCTTATCTTTAGATTGCATACATTCTATTTATTATATTATTATTTTATTATATTTATTATTTATTATATTAGAATACATATTTAGAAGCATTAAGAGTTGTTAACCTAATTCTGCGTAGCTTTTTCTCCGGTAATATCACACTACTAACTAGAGCATACAAAACATTTGCTAGACCAATATATGAATACAGCTCATCAGTCTGGAATCCGCATTACATAATAGATATTAATACAGTCGAGAACATCCAGAAATATTTCACGAGAAGAGTTCTCCACTTTTCTACTCGTAGCAGAATACCTTATGCCGCCAGACTTGAAATTTTAGACCTAGACAACTTAGAACTGCGCCACCTTCGGTCCAATCTCAGTATAGTACATGAAATTATCTACTGCAATGTCCTACCTGTCAATGAATACTTCAGTTTCAACCACAACAATACAACAGCAAACTCTTGATACAAACTCTTGATACAAACTCAAGTTAAACCACACCAAACTTGATTGCAGGAAATACGACTTCAGCAACAGAGTGGTCAACATCTGGAATACTCTACCTCAGGGGTCTCCAACCTTGGCAGACTTGTGGACTTCAACTCCCAGAGTTCCTTAGCCAGCTGTGCTGGCTGAGGAACTCTGGGAGTTGAAGTCCACAAGTCTTAAAGTAGCCAAGGTTGGAGACCCCTGCTCTACCTGACTCTGTGGTTTCTTCCCCAAACCCCCAAAACTTTAACCTTAGACTGTCTGCTATTGACCTCACCCCTTTCTTAAGAGGTCTGTAGGGGGCGTGCATAAGTGCACCAACGTGCCTACCGTCCCTGTCCTATTGTTTCTTTTTTATTCGTATCCATTTCATGTATTCATAACCATGCTTATACCTGTTATCTAATACTTGCTTGACAAATAAAAAATTTTTAAAAAGCCAGCTTCATTGTCATTCTACATTCATACTTCTTGGAAAGTCAGAAAAAAATGGGTGACACATTACCATATTCAGATGGATTTGTAACTGGCTAATAAACCATACTCAATGTGTAGTCTTCAACAGAAATATGGTAAATACATTTGGAGAGAGCTGGGCTCTGGGGTATTATATGGTTCTGTTTTAGGCCCAGTACTCTTCAATATAATATATAGTTTAGATGAGGGAATAAAAGGGAAACTCATCAAATTTGCAGATGACACTAAGCTAGCAGAAGTAGCTTAAGGTCCCAAAGGATCTTGACAGAGTTGAACACTGGGCTCTAACTAACAAAATAAAATTCAATGTGGATAAAAGTAAAAATTTTACACTTTGGCAATAAAAACCATTTGTACAGATACAGACTGGATAAAACTTGGCTCAATACCAGTAACTGTGAGAGGGATCTTAGAGTTCTAGTGAGTAATCACTTAAATATGAGTCAACAGTGAGCAGGCAGCAGCAGGGGTGGGATTCAAATTTTTAACAACTGGTTCTGTGGGCGTGGATTAGTTGGTGGGCATGGCTTGGTGGTCATGTGACTGGGTGGACATGGTTTGGTGCTCATGTTATTGGCTGGGCATGGCCAACTCAATATCACTCACATTGAGGCACGCATCTCCTCGCCTGGCCTCTCATGACTGTGGGGATGCTGCAACAGTAATAAGTGTGAAAAACAGTCATAAGTCACTTTTTTCAGTGCCATTGTAACTTTGAATGGTCACTCCACACAAGCAAAGTGCCAGCAAAGGAGGAGAAAACAACTCCAGAGAAGTTCCTGAGACAGGAAGTCTAGTCCTGCCAAGAATATAATAAGGGTTAACGGAGAGGCAGGTTAACAACCGGTTCTAGAGAATATGTGCAAACTGGTAGAATCCCACCCCTGAGCTAGGTTGCTTCAATAGAGAGATAGAATCAAGATCATATGAAGTATGAATATCACCTCTAAGATCCCTTCCAACTCTGATATTCTATCTTCTATTTTTTATTTTAATAGTACGAGTTTTTAAATTTTATTTTACTAGGTTACAAATACCCCACAACTTTCAACACCTGTAGCTCATCCATCAGAGGATGGGTTGTGATTTGGGATATATTTGTGGATTTTTGTTGTTGTTAATTTGCTTTTTTGCGGTTTTTATACTTAATAAAGAAATTTTTAATTGTGTGCTCTTGTTACTAACTGCTGATCTTTGGCTTGTCTATGGATTTTCTATATAAAACTCAACAAGACATAACTGAATGAATCTTTGAAAGTTCCCAACAGTATTAACAGAATCCTCCTGATTTCCGATTTAAATATATTGTATATTATTTTTCCCAAAACATGTGCCTTCTCTTACCCACTTACTAATTTCATTATAGAACTATGGAGTCAAATATGAATCCATAAAAAGTCAAATCTGGTTTCACGCAATTCAGATGTAAATATTAATATCTATAAAATTAGGAAATGGAAGGCCTTTTTTTAATATTGCTAATTATCACCAGCAGTCTTCATGCTGGTTGGGGCTCCTAGGAATTGTTCTGCAATGTATGACAGTCTATAGATTCTTCATTTTTAGGGCACTTCTGTTATTGACCTTGCAGCAGGGGTGGGATTCTAATAGTTCGCACCTATTCGCCGGAACGGGTTGTTAACATTCTAAGCAGTTCAGAGAACCGGTTGTTAGAAGAAATTATGGGCCTAATCCTGTAATGAAAGCAGGAAGGAAACATTCTGGTGTTGCTTACAACAACTGCCTCTCTGTTAACCCTTACTACATTCTTGGCAGGACTGGACTTCCTGTCTCAGAAACTTCTCTGGAGTTATTTTTCCCTCCTTTGCTGGTACTTTGCTTATGTAGAGTGACCATTCAAAATTACAATGGCACTGAAAAAAGTGACTTATGACCATTTTTCACACTTATGACTATTGCAGCATCCCCACAGTCATGAGAAGCCAGGCGAGGAGATACGTGCCTCAATGTGAATGATATTGAGTTGGCCATGCCCAGCCAATAACATGACCACAAAGCCACGCCCACCAACTAAGCCATGCCCACCGAACCGGTTGTTAAAAAATTTGAATCCCACCTGACTGGTTGTTATGATTCTGTGCAGTTCGGAGAACCAGCAAAAAGTTCCCCTGGCTTGCCCTGCCCCTCCCCTCCTCACCCGTCAGTCTTTATCGTGCATGCCTCCCCTATGCTCTGTTTTTTTCCTTCCTGAGCCCCAGGGAAACCTTCTGGGAGCAAAAAACACCCCCCCAGGAGGCTCCCCTACGGCCCAGAAGGCCCAAAAAAGAGGGGGGAGTTGCTGCCAAAAAGAAGAAGCTATGCCCATCCAGACACGTGGCCACGCCCACCTAGCCATGCCCACAGAACTGGTTGTTACAAAATTTGAATCCCATCCCTGCCTTGCAGGCTTAATTCCTTAGAGCTTCTTCTTGGGAAGAAGAATCTTGGGAATTCTTGGGAGTTTAATGAAAGTCACATCCTATTTTGCTGGATTACAGCTCCCAGTATTTCCTAAGAGAAAAAAATCATGAACATATCCTTCAAAAAGATCTTGACTATGTATCAGAACGGTCAAACAAATGGCAACTTCAAATCTCAACAAATAAATGCTCTGTCTTACATGTTGGCAAAAAAACCAGAAAATAAAATACAAGCTGAATAGTCAAGACCTTGCTGATGATCCAAGCTCTGTAAAGGACCTTGGAATACTCATCTTTAATGATCTAAGTGCTAGAGCCCACTGTAACTACATAGCCAAAAAGGCATTAAGAGTTGTTAACCTAATCCTACGTAACTTTTTCTTTGGTAATATCACATCTTTAACTCGAGCATACAAAACATTTGCTAGACCAATACTCGAATACAGCTCATCAGTCTGGAACACACATTACGTATCTGATATTAGCACAGTTGAGAAAATCCAGAAATATTTCACAAGAAGAGTTCTCCACTCCTCTATTTGTTGTAGAATACCTTATGCCACCAGACTTGAAATTCTAGACCTAGAAAACCTTGAATTACGCCATCTTCAGTCTGATCTAAGTATGGTATATAAAATCATACATTGCAATGACTTACCTGTCAATGAATACTTCAGCTTCAACCATAACAACACAAGAGCACACAATAGATACAAACTCAAGGTTAACCGCACCAAACTTGATTGCAGGAAATATGACTTCAGCAACAGAGTGGTCAATGTCTGGAATACTCTACCTGACTGTGGTTTCTTCCTCAAACCCCCAAAACTTTAATCTTAGACTGTCTACTATTGACCTCACACCTTTCCTAAGAGGTCTGTAGGGGACGGGCATATGTGCACCAACGTGCCTACCGTCCCTGTCCTATTGTTCCTTTTATTTTTCGTATATGTACCCATTTCATGTGTTCATAACTATGTATATACTTATACCTATTATTTTGTAACGATTGACAAATCAAAATAAAATAAATAAATATTCCATTGTTCTATGGTGCAGACAGATATTCACTATTCAGGAGATATAAATTAAACTTGGCCTTTAGGTAGTAGAACAATACTCACCAGTGAGGGTAGAGGCATCACACCAGTTCTGGAACTGGCTGGAGGTTGAGTCAGATGTAACTGGCTCTTTGTTGAGAAGAAGTGGGGGATGGCTGTCATTAGAAAGGCTCCTGCCTTCTTCGGCCTCTTCTGGCCCTGCTGCATCCAGTTTGGCAGGCGTCACACAGGCAATGCGGTTATCATGCAGAAACTATAGCACTGCAGCACCTTGAATGGAGCAGGACTCAAAATATCAGAAGGCAGAATGAGAACTAAAGAATTCTGCTTTAAACAATAAAGCTCCAAAACTTAAAAACTGAGTTCTAGTTGATTCTATGCTACTTGTCCTACTTTATAAGCAAAACCAGCTCTACCACTCTGAATGAAATAGCTGTCTGAGCTGGCACATCTTAAATGAAAAAGCAGCAAGGAATTATTTGTTATTTTCATGCTGGAGATGGAGGGAAAAAAAAACTTGTGGGATTGTCTCTACAAATGCCAAGGTTAATCACCAGTCTTATTCAGGCAGTCAGATGACTTTGCAACCACATCTGAGTCCAAAATTTCTATTGTTAAGTAAGACAGTTGTTACAGAATTTTGGCCCATTTTACAATCTTTCCTGCCAGAGTTATTAGGTTGTAACATGTTTGTTAAGTAAATCTGGCTTCCCTATTGACTTTGCGTACCAAAGTCAAACAAGGTGATCACATGACCCCAGGACACTGCAACCATAAAAAATATGCCAGTTGCCAAGCATCTGAATTTTGTTCATGTAAGCCTGGGGATACAGCATGGTCATAATTACCTGTGCCATATTTTTTCCCGTGGTATAAAATCGTAAGAGATTTTAATAAAAATCATAATTCATATTTTAAGAAGTTATGTTACATGTATATTATAAACTACGTTTTGCTTATATCCCAAGTTGGAAAAAAATATCAAGAAGAGTTCTTACAAAAGTAATTAAAATTCATGACCACAAGTTTTAATAAGACAAAATGGCTGCCCCCCTTTGGAATATCTTGCCCTTCCCCTGAGTGAGATCTGCTCCCATCCTCCTGATCCTTTATAAGGGCCTGAAGACCTGGTTCTGCCAGTTGATTTGGGACCCTAATGATGGAGTGCCATGCTGGAGATGGTTAATGGACCAGTAGCAAATCCCACCTCATCTCCTTGCACACTTTCACCCCCCTCTCCCCATCCTTTTACCATAACTTACAATTGTATTGCTACATATGTGCGTATCATTTTATTGCTTTCAACTCTGAAAGCAGAGTTTCCTTGTGGTGAGATGGATAGAAAATAAATTTAATAAATAATAATAATCAATTTTGATAGGGGGAGGATAGAATTTGTGGTTCTATGCCAGACAAGCAAAATGTCTTGGGCAGGTAGCATCTTTACAACCCCATTGCCAGCCCACAGCTGGATTCAGATGTTCTAAACATCAAATCCCTTTCTCGCCATGTATTTGGAGCTCACTCTCTCAACCCTGATGTCATTTATATCATTTGAAACATGAAACTGAAAGTGTGGACTCCTCACTCTAGTATCACATGCAACTGAAGTGTGTAAAATGTGTAAAACAACACGTACCAAGCTTACTTGCAACAGCTGGTCACACAAAAGAGATGAACTTTGTTCCCTTGGTCACCAGGTTTCAAGGGTGTGGTGTCAATCTGAATCAAAAGACAGAAAACATTGTCTTCTTTGAAGAACTGCAGCCTGGTACTCTCCATGAAAATGGCCTCACTAAGTCTCTGCCCCCCTCAATTCCATGCAAATGTTTGGTTGCACAGCTTACCTTAAGCGGAAAAGGACCTACACAGCAGATTTTTCAACTAGCTGTGATTTATCTGAATTCAACTACTACAGGAGAGCTGATTAGAATTAAGGACTAATAAGTGAGAAAAAGGTTGTCACCCATTTCTCCTGCCACAAATGACCATTTTTCTCCCTCTCTTAAACTTAGCAACTTCTGTTGCAATGCTAATGCCAATGTAAAACACCCTTCTGTGCCTTTCTAACAGTGCGTTACTGAAAGAACTAGGACTCTAGTTGAAAACCAAAATGCCTATATCCCCTTACAATATTTGTTTCAGCAACATCTGATGGAAGCAGTAAATTCCAACTAGTGAGTAAGCATGATAGGGCTGTGGATATTTTGGGATGTTGTGTGTTCTAGCTGTCTTGACTTTTCAGGAACATTTTTTCCTATCTATGGTAAACCACTGTCCTTCTTTTTGTCTTTTGAAGAGACATTAGAGATGCCAACACCTCTGAGCAAACAGTAGAATGTCTTACTTACTTAAAGAAGTGGAATTCCTCCATTGTGTAGCATGCAGATTTTAAACAGTTCTTCCATCTTGCTTCTAAATTACTTAACGAAGAGTTCCTTAGTAAAGGAATTTTGCCAAAGCAAGGCTGCTGCAGGACCATCAATTCTCTGGTTAAATCAAGCATAGACAACCTTCGAAACCCCTCACTTTGTTTTGTCTTGTAATTTCCCAGAAATGTCACTCTCATCACCACATTCCCCTCTAGGCCAAAGACTGTTTTTAAAATATATGTGTTCTCCAAGATACAAAAGACACTGAAATGGCCCTGGGTTAAGGTTAAATAATCAGGTAGAAAGAAACAGTGGGGGGGAAAGGAATGGGTTTGGGGGAACTCCTGCCACTCAAAGCAGATGATATTTGGTTGAAGGGCAAATGTTCCTAACCAGCTTCTTTGTCTTTATCCAAACCAAGTCAGAACTTATGCTTGCCATTTCTAACCTTGTGCTGCTGTTAATATCTATCTTCAGCTCAGCCTTAAGGGGGGCTAATCCACCCCCAAATTCAAGGGATTCTTTTTTTTTTTGTAAGTTTTATTTGGGTTTTCACAAAAAGAAAAGAACTACAAGTAAAACATCTTTTTTGAAAGCAGCATAATCCCGGGTAACATTTCTTCGTACAGACGCAAATTCAAGTTCATGCTCATTTTTATATTCTATTCCATATTTTATTACTATTCTACATTTTCTATATAGCTTCTCCCCTCTTTTAGTTTTCTCAATTTTATTTTATTTATTTCATCTCAGTTCAAATCATTATATTTATATTTTTTGTCTGTCCTGTTTCAATTGTCTATTATCTTTTCTCATTAAACAAAATTTCTCCTATAGTTACTGATTGGAGTATGACGCCTTTATATCTTTCCCCTAAAATTATAACACTCAATATAATACATAACTTCCATTCGGATTCTGCTTGGTACATTCTTAAACTACACACTGTATTCTTAAGAAAAGAAAAATTATAAATGTATGTAATTAAAACAACACATTCTATTCCAATTCAATTCTATCATTAATATTAATATTCATTAAAATCTTAACATTTTTCACATTACTTTCCAAATAAATATCATATTTCAATGGGAACAATTATAAACTTTCCATAGTTAATTCCTCCCCCTCTTCACTTATATTTTATAAAACATTGACTAACTAAAATGTTCCCATTCCTTCCTGATTCGGTTTTGTCATTTATTTTATTTCATTTATTTTATTCACAAACATTTCACTAAATTACACTAACTATTTTTTCCTTCTTTTTAATCATATGTTGTTTCCAATTTTCTAAAGCTATTTCTATTACAAATATAACAATACAATCTTATGTACCTTTATAGAATCCCTTTTTCAGTTAGATTTTCACCCATTATCTCTAAATAGGTCCTGTTTCTTTATATCTTGCTCCAGTCCTTTGTAACTTCTTTTCCTTTCCTTCTTCCCTCTCTTCTTCTCTCTCCCATTTTTACCCTTTTGTCTCTCTACCTCTATTTCCCTCTTCTGTATTCCTCTTTTCTGTTGCTTTCCAGCATTATTTTCCAGCATTATTTTTCTTTTCTTTGGTTGCTTTTTTTAAGTCTTAAATTCTCCATTCTCTTTCCCCTACTTTCCTTTTTCTTCCCCTTGTTCATTAAAGATGGCTTCTTCTTTGTCCCAGTCCTCTTGTCCCAGTCTTCTTGTTTTGCAGTCTTTTCTTGTTGTTTCTCATAGTTCCAGATCTCCATTTCTAAGAATTGAAAAACGAAGCCAAAAGAGCCCTTCCCTTCTTGTGCATCTTCTTTATATTTTTTAAGTTCCATTTTCAATTCATGCAAAAGTGATGCCATTGTAAAAAATTTAAACAACCACCCAATTGATTTTAGTCATTCAAATATAATAACCAAAAATCCAAAAGTCACCAAGCAATCCAAATACACACAAGCTGTTTCTTTTTACACTTTCTCTTTTTTTTCATTTTCTCTTCCTGGGGTTACTATTTAATTGCAAAGTTTCAGTTAAAATGTATCTTTTAGAAGTCTTATTGAAATTTTACTTTAGATTCTTTTGAAGCCCAGGCAGTCTCTTACCTCTTCCAGATCCTGCCCTTATTCTTTTTCTCTCCCTTCCTGCTTATAGAAGAAAAAGTTTTTAATGTCCAGAAATCTTTATTGTCCCTTTGGCATTTAGTTATATTTTCAGCTTAATTGCCTATTGATTCCAAAGTGGATTTTTCTGATTTCTTATTTAGGTCTCTTAGTTGTCAATATAAGGAAGGAGAGAGAAGAAGAAAAAAATCCAAACCTTTCCCTTTTTACTTTCTTTCACTGCTTCCGACTCTTCTTTGGGAGCGATGTTATCTTTTGTAAAATTTAAATTCCAGGGTATCTTAGTTGTTGCTTTTTCGACTTAACCCGGTCAGCCAAAATTTCACTTCTTATCTTCCTCCTGAACGTTCTTTTCTGGTTGAGTTCTTCTTTGAGGTGGCCATTTCTGACCACCACTCCTACCGCCTTCGGGAAAGGGAGTAATGGCCAGCTGAGGAGGAGAGATGTGGCTCTCCTCGACCCTGCTGGTGTTCTCCCCCCCTTCACCACCTGTACGGGGTGGCTTAGCCCCGAAACCAGCCGGCTCGGGGCACTCCAGTGGTGAGCCAGACCGAAACCGCGCACGATCGCGGATTTCTGTCTGTCACCGAAGCCCTTCAAACCGGAAGAGGGATTCTTTATATACAGATAGTACTCAACTTACAACCACAAATGATCCCAACAGTTTTGTTGTTAAGTCAGATGTTAAGTAACTTTTATCCAGGGGTGGGATTCTACCAGTTTGCACCTATTCGCTAGAACTGGTTGTTAACATTTTAAGCAGTTGGGAGAACCAGTTGTTAAAAGAAATTACTGGCCTAATCCTGTAAGGAAGGCAGGAAGGAAACATTCTGGTGTTGCTTACAGAAACTGCCTCTCCGTTAACCCTTATTACATTCTTGGCAGAAATAGATGTCCTGTCTCTGGAACGTCTCTGGAGTTTTTTCCCCCTCCTTTGCTGGTACTTTGCTTGTGTGGAGTGACCATTCAAAGTTACAATGGCACTGAAAAAAGTAATTAATGATCATTTTTCACACGACTGTTGCAGCATCCCCAGAGTCATGAAAGGCCAGGTGAGGAGATGCATGCCTCGATGTGAGTGATATTGAGTTGGCCACGCCCAGCCAATAACATGACCACCTAGCCATGCCCACCTAGTCACATGACCACCAAGCCACGCCCACCAACTAAGCCATGCCCACAGAACCAGTTGTTAAAAGTTTTGAATCCAACCCCTGCTTTTGTCCCATTTTTTCAACCTTTCCTGCCACAATTGTTAAGTGAATTTCTGCAGCTGTTAATATGATTGTTAAGTGAATCTGGCTTTCTCATTGACTTTGCTTGTCAGAAGGTGTCAAAAGTTGATCCCATGACACTGCAGCTGTCATAAATGTGAGTCAGTTGCCAAGGGTCTGA